GGGAGGGGCGGGGAGGGCAGAACTGAGCCCAGGCTCCCCCTGTACCCCCACCCCCGCCCCATGACTCGTGTTCAAGCACCTGCAGGTGGAATCGCAGGTCCTGGTGGTGGGAGACCCCAGGGGTGTGATGGCACCTCCCACCCAGCGCCCCTCCTGCGCAGGCAGTGGCGTTCCTGGTCCTGCTCCTCAGAGGTCGCACAGGAAGGCCCTGCGCTGCGCTGGGACGGAGATTCCACATTAAACGTGGTGACCACAGGCCTGGGGGCAGGCTGTGTCCAGAATCTACTTAGAGGCCAAATGCAGCCGGCGACTGGCTGGGGCCTTCCTGCGGGACCGAGGCCCCCAGCTCCGCGGGGGACGGGGGAGCAGAGCCGTCCTCCCGTCCTCGGAGGACCACAAACACCACAGTTTGGGCAGCACTGGGGGGCTGGCAGGGACCTGCAGGTCTGAAGCGCCCCCAGCCCAGCCGGCCTCTGACCCGCCCCCAGAGAGCCCAGCGAGGAGACACCGCCGTTGCCGCCTGACCCGTCTGGCCAGCACGGTGGCACTGCCAGGGTCCCCCCAGAGGCACCCACTAAGACCACCTGGCGGGGGATCCCCCCCCTCGTCCCGCCCTCTGCCCCACCCACACAGCCCACGTCGTCTCTGAGACTCCCATAAGCTGAAGCGCCTGGCAGACATCACCTTTGACGCTCTTTTTCCACCGTTTCGGTGTTCTTTAATGTTTTCCCTTGGCAGCCCGGCAGAGCGACTCGGGCTGGGGCTGCCGCGCCTGCTGCCGGCGGTTTCTGGCCTCATCTCGGCTATTTTAAGCTGATGAGACCCACGCACCTTGTCACTAATATCAGCAGTTTCATTTTTCCTGTTTCCACTCACTGTGATAAAACGCTCAGAAATAACCAAACCATTTCACAAATGAGAGGGGCCGTTCAGCCAGGCTCGCCCCGCAAACCCACGACCACCCCTCCCCATGCGGACTGGGCTGGGGGTCCTCCAGGGGAGTGAGGATACCAGCTCCCCAGGTCAGGAGGCATCTGAGGGTGGAAAGGTCTGGAAAGGAGACTGCCCAGAGCCTGGTACGGCCGGCTGGAGGGCAGTGGGGGAGGGGATTGGCGCGACCGTTGTCACCCAGCAGGGCCACCTGCGCCCCAGTCGCCACCCCGAGGCCTGACCGGTCACTTGCCCCCAGCAGAGGCTCAAACGCTGAGGCCCAGAGAGCTCAGAGGGACGCAGGACCCGGTTCCCACGGGACAGAATCGAAGCCCACCCTTCACTGCAAGGAGCCCAACGGAGCAGGAGACCTGGTCCCTCCCCCGGGGGTGGAGTGGCACGGGTGGGGGAAGGGAGACCCTGCACCCCTCCTGTCCCGGTCCCCCTTGTCCCTGCACCCCAGCGGCAGGCACTGGAGGGCAGCTCAGGCGGGGAATGGAAGTGGCCACAGCGAATAAGCAGAGAGACGAAGTCTGCCCAGGGAAGGGGCCCTGCGCGGAGAGACCCCCAAGTCAGGGCAGAGGCAGCTGCGCCCACCTGCTGCCCCCCCATCTCCCTCTCCGTCCCCGTCTCCCTCCCTCTCCACTGCTCTCTCTCCCCTCCCCCAGGCCGCCCCCATCCCTGCGCCCTCCCCCCATCGCCTCTGGCACTCCCCGCCCACAGGGAGCGGGAGGAAGAGGGGGTGGGGCGAGGGGCGGGTGCCCTCCCTCTGACATGACCTGGGACAGTTTCCTTTCCGCCACCACATCTGCCTGAGCAGCCCAGGAGGAGGAGGGGGCAGCCGGCGTTGCGGGCGCAGGCTGGCGCTCTGGGCATGCGGACCCCACAGGCTCCCTGGCCTGTCGTGTGGGCCGTGCTACAGCTGGGCTGGCGACCAGGATGGCTCCTAGGTACGTGGGGTCAGGGGTCGGGGGCTCGGGGCAGGGCTCTGGAGTGACCTCCCGCCTCGGTCCCTGACAGGTGAGGAGGGCTCCGTGGGGACAGCCCCCTGGACAGCCCAGCATAGCCACTTGCCCGGCGGCGCTGTGTGGCCTTGCGAAGGTGAAGTGTCCTCTCTGGGCTCCGAATCCTCACCTGGCAAGGGTCCTCTCTTTGCTCTGGGGCAGACAGGACCTCTGTCCTGTCTCAGCAGGTCCTCAGTGTCCCGTGGGATGGGGTGAGCCAGTGTCCTTCTCTGTGGGCCAGAGCCCCACACCTTGGCCCTGCGGCTCTGTGTCACGGTTCTGCCCACTGTCCTCACTTGTGTTTTCCTGTGCATGGGAACAGCCCCACATGGGGACCGAGCTTGGCTTTGTGACACCAAAGGTTAGATGAGCTGGGGACATTTTCCTAACGTAGCAAAAGTGTAACTGCGAGTAAAGACTGCTCATCTGCCCCGAGACATGCCCTCGTGGGCAGGGCACGTGCCTCTGGGCTGCTGGCCAGGACTGCAGGGTGTCCAGGGCCGGCTCTGAGCTTCCTCCATGGGCTCCAGGAGGGGGGCCCTGAGCCCCTGTACAGACTGCCTGCTGGTGCCCCCGGTCAAACTCTCGGCGATCCAGGAGGGGCTCCCCCGGGTTTGCCGAGCCCTGGGCCTGCGCCCCGCCACTCACTCCTTGACCCCCTTGCCCTGCCCTCTGTGCCCGGCTGGCCTGCAGGGGGGACGCCGAGGCCTGGGGTGGTGGCCAATGAAGGGCTAAGACGAGAGGCACCCTTGGGCCGTGCTGACTCCCTTCGGGGCTCCCGTCCTGGGGTCCCTGTGCCCAAAGGCCCCTCAGTCCCCTGCGGCCCCAGCCTTCACTGTCGCTGGCGGCCGGGGCTTCCCGCCTGGGAGCCCTGCTGCTTGTCCTCAGCCAGCGCCCACGGTCGCTCTGGGGACGCGATGGGGAAACTGCTGGAGCCGGTGGTGCCATGGCCCGTGGCCTTGTCAGAGCAGACCAGGCCTGGGGACGGAAGGGGTGCAGCTGCCGGGGAGGAGGCACCAAGGCACAGAGGGAGCGGCGGGAGAGTTGAGAGCGAGTTTCTGCAGCCAGACTCTCCCGCTTCCGCTTGTCCCTGCGGGATTCTCAAACGCAGCATGCCTCGGTTTCCCCACCCGCACCGGTTAGCACACAGCAGTTCAACAGGGCGTGGTGTGTGTTCCCGGGGCCCGGTCCATCCTGTCCCAGACTCGGCCAGCCCTGGCCGCAGGGATCTTTGTCCTGTGACACGGCCTTTCTCCTTCCGAATTTATTCGCTGCATTTATTACTTTGGTCCTTCCCACGGGCAATGGCCGCTTCGAGTGCGCCTTTCACTTGTGATTTGGGGACTGTCCCACACCCGATAGTTTGCCAGCCCCGTCCTCGTGCGTGAGAGTGAACGAGAGCACAAGCCGCCTTGAGTTCAGGTTGCGCTGCGTCGGTGAGCGTGGTACCCTGTGGCCACGCCACCTCTGTGCTGTCTCCTCGCCGGCCCCGGGGAGAACAGTGCCTGCCTGGCAGGGCCTTCCGAGCCAAACCAGACCATCTGTGGACGCTCCCCAGCACGGCCCAGGACACGTGTGTTAAAGTCAGGCTTTTTATCGTTTTCAACCTACTGTTTTGAAAAATATTATAGGGAAAAGTTAACAGACACAACAGTGAGCATCCTTCACCCAGAATCCCTGCTTGATAGTATCGGCGGGTTTCCTTTCAGTGTCAGTGGGCAGGAGCTGCCGTAACAAAGTGCCACAGAAATGTGTCAGACCCCGGTCTGGACGGGACGTCCGCGACCACGGTGTCGGCAGGGTCTGTTCCTTCCGGGGCTCTGAGGGCCAATCCGTCCCAGGCCTCTCCCCGGCTGCTGGGTTTGCTGTGGGCCTTTGGTGTTCGTGGTCTTGTGGAAGCGTCACCCCACTCTCGCCTTCATCTTCACACATGCGACTCTGTGCAAACATCCCCTTTCTACAGGACACCGGTCACATTGGATCAGGGCCCACCTGCTCCATCCGCAAGGACCCTGTTCCCAGCGAGGTCGCATTCCGAGCCCCCAGGCTGAGGGCCTCCCCACGCACCCACAGAACGTCCCATCTCCTCGCACGCAGCTGCCATTCTTTGACCCACTGGAGCGTTAGCTGCAGACACTAGAAGACACTTCGCCCCTCACACTCCAGCCAGGTCTTCTAGGGACAGATACCTGCTCACAGCACTCGTCCCCTCCAACAGCGGGTGAACCCAGGACTGTTGCCAGACAGGCTCCCGCCCCCGTCTAGCTGGCCCGGACGGCCTGCTTCCGTCGGGGCTGTGAGTCTGCTTGTTATTCCAGTCTAGACCGGGCCCTGCCTCCTCTGTCGCGGCACTCCTGTGTTCCGGAACAGTCTAGGGATGTGTCCGGTATTTGCCCGAGGGGGGTCAGGCTTGCATCTTGGCCAGGAACACCACAGATGGGGTGTCAGTCCTTCTTGGGGTGCCTGTCGGGGGACCCCATGATGGTGCCCTTCCCTCTGTGGTAAGTAATGGCCCGACAGTCTGCCGAGCGAGGCTTTTGCACCCCAAGATGGGTCTGGCCGAAATGGGGTGTTAGGAGGTGCTGTGGAATGTGCAGTCCGTGAGGCAGCCTCCCAGCCGACAGCAGCTCCCTCTGCGGAGCCAGCGCCCCCACTTCTAAACTCACCTCAAAGGCTGGCCACGCTTACACGCTCCCTCCTGGCCCTATGCGGGGCATGGTCCTGTCTCACTCCTATATGGATCCCAGTGAGAAGCTTGAGGGAGACTGTGAAACCCCACAAAACCCTGTAGATATGACTTCACCCTGCATCAGCCAGAGGTCATTGCAAAATATTTACCTTCTTGGCGGGACTCTAACAGCTAAGGTGGCCAGGAAGGCTCCCTGGAGGAGGTGGGCCTTGGGTGTGAGCTCCCGGGTGGGCCAGGCAGGTGCCAAACGGTCTCCCTCAGCCTTCCCACGCTGGGCCTCCGGGAGCAGGGGTTGCAGGGACAGGCTGGGGTGGGGAGCAGGGCACGTGAGCTCCCGGAAAGTCCTGGCCCTCGCCCCACCTGCCAGCCGGTGGGGGCTGGGGAGGCCGGGAGCCCAGCAGAAAGGGCCTCCCTGGAACTCACACAGCAAGGAAAAGGCGGTCCCCGTACCCACTGCTGCAAGTAAACGGACATTTCAATTTTTCATTCCACAGACAAGCACTTTGCAGTTGCCTAGACACTCGCGGTGTGCGGACAGAGCAACATCCCAGTCCGCTGCGCCTCCCCGCCAAGCTGGGCTCCCAGCGGCACTGTGGCTCTGGCCCGCCTTGCCCTCTCTGAGCACGTGGATGCCGCTCATCCCGCCCCCGTCCTAGTGCGCTGGTACGGACACACGTAGGGGGACGCGCTGGCTATGTCCATCCCTGCAGCCGCCCCGGCGTGAGCGATGGGGACCCACAAGTGCTGCCCGAGGTGTCTGCTGCCGCGAGGGCCGCCCCCACCCCGTGCCCCGTGTTCCCAGAAACTCAGACACACAGAGAGCCGGGCACGTCCCTTGTTCTGTGCTGAGGCCACCCGATCCTGAGCTCGTCACAATGAGGTCTCCAGCCCTGTGCCCTCCAGACCATTCCCAACAATTCCTTGGGACCCTGACCCTGGGAGCCCATCCTCCTGTGACCTCCTGGGTCACCGAGTACTGGCTGGGCGTCCTCCCGGTGGTCCGGCTGCACTGTGGCTCGGGAGGGGCACTCCCTGGTCAAAGCCGGCTGTGGAGCAGCAAGAGGCCAGTGTCTGCCCCACCACGTGTCTGTGGGGAACCCCCTTGGCCTGCCGAGGGTGGCCTCTGAGAGAGTCCCTGCCACCTCTGGGCGCACCAAGAAGACACTGGGGGACAGGTGTGCAGGTGGAGGCAGGAGAGTGCTTTGGAGGTGTCCAGGGAGCAGCCAGGGGGCCAAGGGCCACCGGGAGGGACTCAGGAACCACAGGGGCCGGGGCAGGACCAGGCAGGCCAGGGGGTCCCCCCGCACCAGCTCAGATTTCATAAGCGAGCAGGCGAGTGACTCCCAACTGTCACACGTCCAGGTGTGGGACAAACGAGGGCCGGACCGAGGGATGGCAGGGAAAGGACGGCCAGGGTCTGTCGGCAGACGTCCCGCGGGGCCTGCCAGGACAGCCCAGAGGCCGGGTCGTGTCAGGCCCAGAGCAGGGCGGGGCCACGGCCACGCTGGCGCTGCAGCGCCCTCGGGTCTGGTGTTCCAACGCCACAGCGCGGTTTTGCCAAATCTGAGCCCAACTGGTACTATTATTTACTTAACGCTTTTCTTGGAAGAGGTTCATGTTCCTTGAATAAATGTATAAAGATGCGTATTAGTGTGGCTGCAGGAGGTTCCCAGGGGGACGTGCGGTTGCGTGGGGTCTGGCCCACAGGGTGCTGGGACGTGCAGTGGCGTGTGGCTCAGACACGCAATGTCAGAATGAAGAAAGGGCTTGCCAAGGCCCCACGGTGTTCGCGTCGCCCCTGAGCGGGGTCAGAGAGCAGCCCCGGCTTCACGGAGCAGTGGGCCTTGCTGACAGGGGAGGACCCCACCTGCACCGGCCACCCCCAGCCCAGGCCTGGCCCCTCCCAGGCCACCTTGGCCTCCCCAACACCCCGTCCCTCCTGGAGGGTGCGACAGGCACGCAGAGCCACACAGCTACGTGGACCACCACCCACCCTGCACAGCCGCCTGGGTCCGGCCTCACGGCCCCTCCACAGGGGCCCCGACTCCGGCCACGCCACCTCGTGTCCAGCGGGCACTAGACGGCTCCGCAGGAAGCCTGTGCCGGCCCTGTCTGCCACCAAGACTGGGCGGGGGCCCACAGGCTGGGGGGCGTGGGGGAGCTCAGGGTCCTCGCCCATAACCACCCACAACCAGATCCTCCCTGGTCTCACCTCTCACAGTCATCCTGCGCTTTCCAGACATCTCTGATTTCCTTCCTAAGCAAGAGGGGTCACTTCAGACACCTCATTCGCCCACGCGAGGTGCCCGGTGGGGACGGGCATGAGTCGGTCCTGGCCACACGTACCCTGGCGTGGCTCACTCTCCTCTCGTGCCTGGCCCCACACAGCAGGACCTGAGCTGGCCTGGCCACAGGGGCACTGGGGCTGGCTGCCCGCTTCCTCCTCGGAGCCCCGACTGCTCCGTGGGTGGTCCCCACACTGCCCAGAGGCCGTCTGCCCCAGAAGCAGTAGAAGAACCTGTAGGAGAACCTGTAGTAGCCGTAGCTGTGGCAGCCACAGCCTCCTTCCTGTCACCATGTGCTGGGGGCCAAACCCAGCAGGCGTCACGGGAATGGAGCTGTGAGAGCACACCCCAGGACTGACATCGCAGGGCTGGGCCAGCACTGGGGAACCAGTGGGGGACAGGACGTTGGGTGGGCAGGAAGGTCACCTCGCTGTGCTGCGGGGAGATGGCTCAGGTCTTGGTCTTAGTCGGTGCCTCCCCCGGAAGGAGGCCACTTTCCCACACGGCTGGGGTGCAGGCAGGGGCCACGGGGGCAAGGTGGGCTTCTGCTCTGCTCTGCCCCTCACTCCGGCACCAGCACACACCCGGGGTTGGGTCTGCAGCAGCTTCAGCCTGCACTTCCTCTCTGCACCTCGGTTTCCCCACGTGTAAATCAGGGACCACGGTAGAGCCAAGTGCAGCCTTCCCAAGGGGTGAAGCCCGGCATGTGTGGGCCCTTTGTCCCTCCTGGGACCCCCACGCCACTGCTGGTCACATGGGCCGAGATGGGGGCTCCTCTTCTCCCGTGCTCCAGCGAGCACATGTGAGTATGTGCGGGTGGGCGTGAAAGGGCGTGAGCACGTGTGGGTGGTGTGGTGTGCATGTGTGTGAGCACGCGTGACAGCGTCCATGAGGCAGCGTCCTCGGCGGGAGAGCAGCCACCACATCCCTGTGCAGGGTGTCTGGGGATCGTGAGGCCCCACTGCTGTCACAGGAGCGGCGATGGCCCTGCTGAGGACTCCGGTCCCCAGGGTCCCAGCTCTGAGCTTGTCCTGAAAGCGGGGCAGAGGCTGGACCCTGCTCCTGCCACGAGGACCCACTGCCTCCAGGGCTGGGGAGACCCCAGCCCGCCCAACCCAGCATCCCTCCGCCGAAGCAGTGCAGATGGGACCAGGGCAGGGCACTTAAGGGTCAGAGACCAGGTGGGCAGAGCTGGGACGTGCGGGGTTAGGCCTGTGTGGCAGCCCTGCACAGCCCTCTCTGGGGGCCTGGAGACTAGAGGGGAGGGGGGAAGGCTCTTGGGGGAAAACAGGGTTTGGGGAGAAGCCCCCAGCCTCAGGTCTCGATGAAGGCGAAGGTGAGCGCCCAGCCCCGGGGACCCTGGCGGAGGATCTGCCCAGGATGCTACCGGGCTGAGGGCAGCGGGGGGTGGGGGGGTCTCACTGGCTGCCCAGCCCCTCCCTCATGCTGGCCACTGCTCCCTCTCCACCCCTCAGACGCACCCGACAGGCCCCTCAGCTTCTCCCCCGCCCGGCTCACAGTGCCCGAGGGGGCCAACGCCACCTTCACCTGCAGCTTCGCCAGCACGTCGGAAAGCTTCGTGCTGAACTGGTACCGCATGAGCCCCAGCAACCAGACCGACAAGCTGGCCGCCTTCCCCAAGGACCGTAGTCAGCCCGGCCAGGACCCCCGCTTCCACGTCACACAGCTGCCCAACGGGCGCGACTTCCAGATGAGCGTTGTGGCCGCCCGGCGCAATGACAGTGGCATCTACCTCTGTGGCGCCATCTTCCTGACCCCCAAGACACAGATCAAAGAGAGCCCCCGCGCAGAGCTCACGGTGACAGGTGCAGCCCCCGAGACAGGGGGTGGGCAGCCCCTCCTGCGCAGGAACAGGAGCCCGCAGGGGTAGAGGGGGCAGGGGCTCTGTCGGTCACTCAGGGCCATAGTGACTGACCCCTGACCTGGGGAGGTATGCCAGGTGGGAGCGTCCACATGGGCGCTCTTCTGAGGAGCCGGCCAGGTAACAGCTGGTCACTGCACAGCTGGGGTCCTGCAAGGCCCTCAGGTCATGGAGAGGGCAGGGCAGGTAGCCCTAGGAGAAGGGGAGCACGTGGAGGCCGCCCCCCAGGACCCTGCCCCCGAGGACCCAGCCCCAGAGGACCCTGCCACTAACCTTTGTCCTTTGTGCCCTTCCAGAGAGAGTTGTGGAATCTCCCACACCACACCCCAGCCCCCCGCCCAAGCCAGGGGGCCAGTTGCAAAGCCTAGTGGTCAGTGTCACTAGCGTCCTGGTGGGTGTCCTGGTGCTGCTGCTACTGGCCTGGGTCCTGACTGCCATCTGCCCCAGGGCCACTCAAGGTAATGTCTGCCACAGCCCTGCCCAGCCCAGGCCCTGTCCTCCCTGGGCCCCTCCCCACAGTGAGGACCCTGCCCGGGGAGGAGCTTGGCTGGGTTCTCCCAGCGTCCCTGGGGTCATGCAAGCCCCAGCCTGCCCCCTCCCCACCTGCTCTCAGCAGGCTCTGAGGCCTGGAGGAGGCAGGAGCCTCCGCACCCCTGGGGAGAGGCAAACCTCGGGCCCCAACCTTAGAGGTGTGAGGTAAACAGGACGGATGGGGGTGAGCCCAGGATAGAGGGGTGGTGAGAGACACCCCTACCACGTGACCCCTATGAAGGCTAAGGACACCCCACACCCTGACCCCCACGAGGGCTGAGGACACCCCACAGCCTGACCCCCACGAGGGCCGAGGACACCCCACACCCTGACCCCCACGAGGGCTGAGGACACCCCACACCCTGACCCCCACGAGGGCCGAGGACACCCCACACCCTGACCCCCACGAGGGCCGAGGACACCCCACACCCTGACCGCAGGAGGCGGATAGAGCTGACCTCTACCTGCTCTGCCACGGATCTGGAGCCTGGGCCTCCTGTCTTCCAGCGGTGGGGTGTGTGGCTGGGCCCCAGAGCCCATGTCCTCAGCCATCTCTGTGTCCTCCCCCACACGCCTTCCAGACACGTGCCCCTCTGCGCTGCGCAGGTGGAGACGTGCAGCATTCTGTGCGGCCTCACCTGGGAGGGGTCTGTCCCCTGCAGTGGGCGCCTGGCTCAGCAATTCACGGACCAAACGGGGGCCCCTCATCATTGGTGGGGGTGAGCTGGGTCAGAAGGTGTGGTGCCCTCTTGGGCCCAGACAGCCTCCCGTCAGGGACGGAAGACCCCCTGGACAGGCTGACGCAGCCCCTTGGGGCCAGGGCCCCGCTAAGACCACTGCCCTGGGAAGGACTGCTCGGCGTCTGCCCTGACTCCAGTGTGTTTCTCTGCAGCGGCCGGAGGAGCCCGACGTGCCGACCGACCCCCGGTGAGCCTCGGCCCCGTCCCGTGAGACCCGCCCCCTCCACCTTCCTGGGGGGGCCCAGGTGCCTGGGAACCCTTAAACTTGAACTTCTAGCCAGGACCCTGCCCCCCAGGTTCCCCGGCAGTATGACCCAAATCCCCAAAGCCGAGTCCTGGTACCTGGCCTGCCTGTGGTCTCCGAGCACGTGGCCGATGGCGGGGGCACGCCTGCAAGGCCGTGTGTGGCTGGAGAGAGGGCAGCCAGAAAAGGCACGTTTTGGAATCTAAATCTGCAAGAATGCCAGGCACATTTCGGAGGAGGAAACTGAGGCAGAGAGGAGCTGCAGCTTGCCCCGGTCACACGGAGGGGCAGTGGGGGGACAGCCCTGGCCTAGGCACAGTGCCTGGGCACACCTGCTCTAAGCGAGCGGTCCCAGGCTCGGTGATGGGCATCCAGGGTGGTGGCTCAGCCCGGCAGGTGCTCCGGGCCCCTTCCCCGGGCAGGCATGGGGGACTGACTTCCCCCTTCCTCTCTGAAGGAAGGAGCCCTGAAGAAGGAGGACCCCTCAGCCGTGCCGGCGTTCACTGTGGACTATGGGGAGCTAGACTTCCAGTGTCGAGAGAAGACCCCAGAGCCCCCTGCCCCCTGCGTTCCTGAGCAGACGGAATATGCCACCATCGTCTTCTCCAATGGGCTGGGTGTCTCGTCCCCAGGCCGCAGGGTCTCTGCCGACAGCCCTCGGGGTCCCCGGCCTCTGAGGCCTGAGGACGGACACTGCTCTTGGCCCCTCTGACTGGGTTCCTTGGCCGCCAGCATCCTGCAGACCTCCCACTGTGAGCCCAGGATGTGCTGGGCACACAGCGCCCAGGGGCTGAGCGACCGGGAGACTGCCCCGTACCTGTGCCAGCCCCACCACAGGACTCCGACTTAATGCCACCCAGAGTCTGGGCGGCGGGGTCGCTGTCCCTTACAGTGAGGGCCTGAGTGGGACACCACTTCAGGCTTTGCTGGGACAGAGCTGGCCCGAGCCCGGCTCTCTTGAACCACTGCTGCTGCTGCTGTGCAGGGCTGGGGGGGAGTCGCCGTGGCCCCCAGGAGCCTGGAGGTGGGGCCTATTCAGAGACTGCCTCGGAGTGGCCCCGTGAGGCACCCCATAACCAGGAGGTCCAGGGACACGCTGGACGCAGGGCCCGAAGCCGTCCCTCAAGGGGTGCAGGGCAGGAAGTGCGCGGGGCAGGAGATTCTCCAGGGGCCACACTCCCCCAGGCCTGGAGGAGTTTCCGGGAAGGCCAGAAGAGTCCCGGCTGCGTAGTGAGCTCCTCCTCCTCGGCAGCCCCCCTTGGAGCCCACTCCGCCTTCCCCACCCACCCTCCGGCTGCTCAGGGGGGTCCCATGGGCAGGGGGAGGGGCGCGGCTGGCTCTGGCCCCTCCTGGAGGGGTGAGGGGAGGAGGTGCAGGCATCCAGGGATCCCCTCATGTGTCCAAACTGGAGAGTCAGGTTCTCTTTGCTGCCCACTCACAGTGCTATTTAGAGGGGCCTTGGCTGGGTTCTTGCAGGGCGTGGGTGAGGTGGTGTAGGCGTCCCCCATCCAGCCGGGCACCCCACAGTGAGGCCTGGCCACCCCTTGACATGTGGCAGGATGGCCAGGGTCCAGGTTGGCAGCAGGCACCTGGGTGGTGGACCCTCTTCCTTTGGTTCTATTACATTTTAATTAAACATGAGGAAAGCTCTGAGTTCTGTCCTGCCTGAGTAGTTCCATTGTGGGTGGGGGGCAGAGGCCTCTGCGCGGCTGGCTCAGCCAGGCTGGGGCTGAGGACAAGGACAGTGGCTGGCATCTGGAGCCTGGCCCAAACCAGGCCCCCCGCTCACTACCCCAGAAGCACCAGGCCCTCCCGGCCCTCCTCACCTGGTCCACACTCAGGCGCATGGCCCCCCACGTGTGAATCCCTCCAACTTCACGTGATGGTGGGCACCATGCTCCCCTTTCCAGGGTCCCACGGCCCTCTGCCCCCAGGCCACCTTGGCTGGCCCAGGGCAGCCCCTGAGCAGTTGTGCCTGTGTCTGCGTTGCTCCGGCCCCCACATCCCCGCTCCCTGGGAGTCCCACCGGGGAAGGCCCTCACAGCAGGGTGGGTGGGCTGCACCAGGCTAACACACAGCATTGGTGGGGTCCCTCCCCCAGTGCACGGGGCAGGGGAGACTCAGCCCAGGGAGGGGCACACCTGCTGCAAGCCCCATCACTGTGCTGCGGTCCTCAGCCACTGACAGCCCAGCCAGCCGCCCCGTCCCTCCCTACCCCCAGTCCCTAGAACTCACCCTGTGCCTGCCACCCTGGGGCCCCGTCCTGAGTGAGGCGAGAGGTGGAGTCACTGTGTCCACGTCCCAGACAAGGCAAGGAGGGAGCCTGGTTCTGGAGACTCCAGACGAGATCGGGTGAGGCACAGCCACCCAGGGACTCTTCAGATGACGAAAACCTGAAGGGCCTCATGGAAAAACTACTACAGGCAGTAGGAGAATGTGGTAGAGCAGCAGACATAAAATTAACACCCAGAGGAAAATGCCTTCCATATATTCAGATAATCACCAGTGAGAAGATACAGTGGCAGGAAATGTTCCACCTCCAACAGCGAGAGATAAGATAAAACTTAACGATAAACGTGCAACCTGCTGGAGAAGAGAACTCTGGCTCTTGGTTATGTGACCCAAAATAAAATCCTAACCCCCTGCATACTGGACAGCCCCCTTCTTGGCCAAGGGGAGCCCAGAAAATCCGCGAAGCTGAGTTCCTGGCCACGAGGGGAGAGAGGGCAGACGTGCCCCAGACAGTAAGATACTGAGCTTCTGAGAGCACCGATGGCCACGGAGAGCAAAGGCCAAACTCCTGCAGACCACCCACCTGCTCAACAGACCCCTCGAGTCTGAATCCTGTGCTTGTCTCTGGTCAACAGACTTCCTTGTCCTAACTGAAAACATTGCAAGCCTTTAGACAAAGCTTTATTTCTTTAACCAATTCCAAATCGAAGAGTCTTTGAACGCACCTATAACTGGTAAGCCCTGGCTTGGAGATGTCCCGCCTTTTGGGACCAAACCAATGTACACCTTCCATGTATTGGATGATTTTACCTACAATTCCTGTCTCCCTAAAATGTACACATCCAAACTGCAGCCCAACTGCGGTGGGACCACTTGCTCGAGACTTCGTGGGCCTGGCTCTTGGGTCACACATATTTGGCTCAGAATAAACCTCTTTAAATTATTTTGCAGAGTTTGGGTTTTTTTCTTTTAACAGCTACAAGGACTCGACTTCACAGACATGTCAGTTCTTCCTACTGAATTTATAAATTTAACATCATCCCAGTAAAAACCCACATTTCTGAAACTGTGACACTCATATGGAAAAGCAAACAAGCAACGGCCAAGGAAACCCTGAAAAGAAAGTGAAAGACGACCAGCCCCTCGAGATGGAGCCGCAGGGTGGGATGGCCCACAGAAAGGCAGGGCAGGCCCGCCCGGGACCCAGACCAGGGAGAGAGAGTCTCACAGACGGCGCCGGACAGCGAAGGTCTGATGCACCCGTGCTGCGCACGCTCACGGATCCAGCGCAGCAGAGAGACCCCGCGAGCAGCGCAGGAACTCGTGCGCCGCCCCTGCCGGTGCAGAAGCAGCTCCAGCCTTCGACTCCGTGTCAGAATCACCCATGGAAGAGCCCAAACGCACCGATCGACCGGTCGGACTCTAAACCAGAAAACAAGAAATGCAGCACGGCAGAAAAGCCCCCCTCGGCACCCTGTGGGGACGCTCGCACCCTCACGGGCGAGCCGGTATCCGGGTCACGTGGAGACTGGGAAACCTGGAAAAGTCCGGTCAAAACTGCGGCAGGAAGTGAGCAGGAGACCTAACCGGACAGTTCACAAGAGATGTGTGCATGCGCTTGCATGCGTGTCTACACGTGTGTACACGTGTGTGCACACACGGCTTAGACAATACACATGTGTATATGTGCGTGCATATGTATTTCTTAAACAGTGAAAAGATGTTTGATTTTACTCATAACAACAAAGCTACAAATTAGATCCTCGCCTAGGAGACTGGCAGAGCTGTGGACCTGCCACCTGGGGAGGACGGGCGCCATCGGGGGATGGAGCTGGCCCCTCGGGAGGGACAGGACAGCTCCCTGTCCCCAAAGGCAAGGAAGGTAGGGTGGTGTCAAAACGACAAGCAATTTGAGCATAAAAATACACCAAAATTAAAATTAAAAATCAAATAGATTAACACATTTTGAGCACATTTAAAAAAACAGTTCAAACTGATTCTCAAAAGAAAAAAGCAAAAGAAAAGCTCGTGGGGAGGGGAGGAAGCGGTCGCTGACCTTGAGCAGCGGCGCTGGCTGCCCAGGGGCAGGGCGCTGGGGGCTGGTGCAGCTGGGCTCAGATAAGAACCCGAGAGAGCAGGACACAGTCAGCACTTTGCATCCCGCCTTCCCGTAAGCGGCCCCTGCGCCGCCTCGCACTCACTTTTTCCGTCCGGCTCTGCCCCAGTCGCTGTGTCACCGGCCCGGGCGGGCGGCGCCCACCCCACCCACGCTCCTTCAGCAGGTCATCCCTGCCTGCCAGGCAGAGGCTGCCGCTTCAGGAGGGCCTGGGTGTGGCCCGGCCTGGGGCTGCCCCCGCCGGGCCCCCAGTCTCGCCTGGAATCCTGCGGGCAGCTCTGCCCCACTGCCCTCAGGGCCCCTTGGCCGAGCTGCCTCCTGTCTCTCCTCCCCACTCCCGAGCCCAGCCCACCGCGTCTTCCTCTGCGGGCGGGACCTGGATGTGCCTGCTTTGGGCCCAGGTCCCGCAGGGCAGCAAGGGCAGCGTCCCGGCTCTGCAGAGGGACGTGCTGGACCGGTGGGGCTTGGCCAGGGATGTGGGCTTGGCCGGCCACCCTCGGCGGCAGAGGCGGAGAGAGCTGGTGACCTGGGTGCAGCTGCAAGGCTCTCCAGAGGCTGGCGGGGCACTGAGCAGGGCCAGCGTGTGGGTCCTGGTGGCCTCAGCCCCAGCGGGTGGGTGGTCCAGGGTGGACGGACGCCACTTTATGTCTGGGTGAGGCGCCTGAGTTTTTGGAGAGTTCAGGATGTGGAGGGTCCTCGGGAGGGTGATCAGGCTGGTGTGGCCACACGGGCGTCCGCCGCACCACGGGCCCTCAACTGTTGCACCGTCGCCCCCTTCTTGGGCGTCATGGTGTTTTCTCTCCTATATCCTGGTGAGGCTGCCCCTCCCGCCACCAGGGCCACCTGCGTTTGTGCAGCCCCAGGGTGATGCCCGGGGTTGCGCTGCCAGGGGCAACTGGCCAGGGCTGTCAATGCCAGGAACAGCACAACCACACGGTCATGGGACCCAAAATAAATTGTTACATAACGTAATATTATTCGGCAGTGGAAAGCACTGAGGTTTGCACACCATGTTCACAGCAGCACCATTCACAACAGCCACGAGGGGGAAGCAGCCCAGGTGTCTGGATAAGCAGAAAGTGGCGGCTCCGTACAATGGAACATCCTTCAGCCGTGGAAAGGAAGGAAACGCCAGCACCTGCCACAGCGTGGACGAACCTTGGGGACAGTGTGCCGGGGAAACAAGCCGGTCACAAAAGGACAAATAACATGCGATTCCGCTTACACGAGGTCCCCAGAGTAGTCGAATGCACAGGGACGCAGGCAGACTGGTGGGTGCCAGGCCCAGGCAGGGGGCGGGGGTTAGTGTCCCGTGGGGACAGTCTCAGTTTTGCGAGGTGAAAAGAGTTTCAGTTTCGGGGCTG